TATTTTGAAAATTTATATTTACTTTTGAAAGTATCTTATACGAATTGTCTGAAAGTAATTAACATTTTTAATAGCAAAGTTTTGTTTAAATTTTAAGTAATAATTATTTCACCTTATCTCTAAGAAATCATCATCGCATACAGTCGAAACTTGCTCCAAACCGAATTCCTTAGGCACAAGTTCTATTGTGTGACCGAGTGGCGCCATTATAATCCATACACAATCCAAGTCATTACCGTAAGGCATTGGCCAACCAGGTGACGTAAGTACACCGAACCTTGTACTGAAATTTCCACCACAGTCTAAAATAATGTGAAAAATCAGTGAGATTTAATTAAAAGGTCTTATTTTTATTACATCCAACTTACTTTCCGCACTATCCACTAAAGTATAATTGAAAGATATATACGCCGGAAAGTAGTCAGAAGAATTAGTTAAGCCATTAACAGACTTTATTGTCAATACACTCGTGTGAAACACTTCATTCAAATAAATATTTTGAGAGTAACTGTGGATTAATCGTTATGAAAAAACATGATTTTATAGAAACATAGATTACAAATCATAGTTCCTACCTAGCCAGAAGCTTTTCGTCTTTGGTATCAGGTAGTTTTGAATGCAAGGAAAGACTGAAGTTATTGGCATTTTGTGGTGGTGTGTAGGTTAGAGTCAAAGATATGTGTTTATTTTCTGGTGCTTCAATAATCCATTCACAATAAGAGACGTCACTGAGCTTCTCGTTGCTTTCGTAACTGTTACGTGATTCCGTGAAAATTCCACCACAACGCACAGTTTCAAAAGAATATTCTATTTTTAATCCTCTCGCCCTACGACTATTTTCTGCCGTTTTGAAAATAATACGCAAGTGATTTTGGCTGGATACCAATGGTTCTGGAGTAGCATTCTTATAAAATCGACGTTTACTTATCTTAGATAGATAAACCTTAAAATGCAAATAAAAATAAACATTCAAAATGTTTTCCTTAAGACTTAAATACGTGTTGGTGAAGTTTCCAACTATTGTTTACATTTTTTACAAACCTCAACAAAATTAAGATTTTCATCAACATCACTGTCGTTAAGTTGCTTCAATTTCACATTGTGGCCATCTTCATCCAGAAGCGTTGGCACACTTTCAGATATTTGAAAATCTGCAAACTTAATATGGATCACACTCCCCAATGGACCATAAATGTCATATGTACAAGTCATATGATCAAAATAGGGGTTAGGATAATTGGGTGTCATAAAAATTCCATCATCAGGACCGAAAAATTTGTCCTCACAAACTTAAAAAAGACATTTGTACTCATAAGTTCTATTTACGCTATATATAACGCACTTACTCCGACTATATCTTGCTTCAAAAGACAATGTGTCAATTTTTAAGCCTACAACCGCGTACTCATACCGTATAAGCAAGTAATTTCCCTCCGATATAATCGGACTCACTGACTTGAAATCACCACATATTCGTTTCTCCAATGGATATTCGTCAGTTTTTCCATTAAAAATCTAAGAATTTATACATGTCTAATGTAACTGCTAATATATGTATTATATATATTATTGACTTACTTCAACTTTTTGCAAATCACAATCATCGCTATCCAATAAATTATAATTTAAAATTTCTAGTTTTATTTTAGTACCTGGGGGCTGCTGTATTAGATAAAGACAAATTTCTGCATTTATGTGGCCGCCGATGGTAGCTCTTGGCTCAGTGAAAATTCCACCACAGTTCGGTGAACTTGGTATCACCTCATAATGTAATTGAAATGAACTGTCTTCTCGAAAAGCATCTGTGTGGAAATGTATGCTAATTATATTTGAAGATGTATAGAAAGGAGCAGGTTTTTCAGACTCGCAGAAAGTTTTCACGAGGCGATCTGAGTCGTAAATCTTTAGCGTATCTTGTGTACAATTAGAATCACCACCAAGATTAATTTCATAAAAGCGCAATACAAATCGATAACCAAAACTCGCTTCCAACTCCCATTCACATTCACGGTTAATAGGTGTCTTTCCGGGATAGCCTGGAGACTTTATTACATCGCTGTTACCCATACCCAATTCAAATTGACCACCACATGTGTGAGGCTGTGATACCCACGAAAATTTAAAGCCAGTTGAAGTAGTTTCATTATCCGTACGAAACCAAAAAAATACTTCTTGATGAGAAGTTATAATGGTACCGCCGCGAGGCAAATCGCTTCCACAGAAGCGTCCCACAAGCTGCGCACTGAGTGAACGACCATCGTGTATTTGCAGAAAATCTTTGCTGCAGTCAAGCGACGTTTGCAAATCAAATTTACTGAAAGTTATATTGAGAATTTTATTAGTTGTGGTACGTATGATCCATGCGCAACGTTCTCTATTTTCGTAGTTACCACCCTCTGGTGGATAGATCACTTCTCCTGTTTCTTGTCTCAAAACGGAACCGCAAATTTCACGTTGTATTTCACAGTTTTTTCCTGTAGTGCCACGTTGACATGCACAACGATACTTATTTTTCGGAGCCAACTTACAACTACCACCATTTGAACATGGATTTGGATGGCATGCGTCATTTTTTTCACATGTAGCACCCATATAGCCTTCAGGACATATACAACGAGTGCCCTCACCATTCACTTCACATGTTCCGTTATTCTACAAAATATAAACAAATTCAACATTGTGACTTATAACAGATCTGTGGAATATACTTGCCTTACATTCATGATTCTCACATGGATGTGTGGCTATTTCCGATTTACAACCATTTTCCCCAAAACCGTGACCAGACAAACCGACTGAACAAGTGCAAACCACTGTATCCGATATATACTCACATTTTGCTTTAGGATGACAAATATTTTCTGAACTACAATCATTGGAAGGAGCCGGTATACAAATATGACCATCACCCAACCAACCTTCTGGACAATTGCCACAGTGATATGATCCCTAATAGTAAAGACATGAAATTCATCGTCAATTCAAAAAAATGAAATTGATTTCTCTATTTATTTTATAGTACCTCAGTATTTATACAGTTTACTTTCGGTATTAAACTGCAACCACCATTATCGATAGCGCACTCATTCAGGTCAAGACAAGTAATGCCATTTCCAGTGTATCCATTTGGACATGGACCACATTTAAAACTACCTGGCATATTAATACACTCACTATGGCAAGGATTAGTGTGAAGCTCACATTCGTTAATATCGATTACACATGCTGGAGAAGAATTTGTATATGTCCAGCCAACATCGCAAATGCAAGTGTAGTTATGTATATTATTGGCGCTCACACATGTGCCATGGCCGCAGAGTTCGTCTCCATTATATTTTTCACAAATCATCTCACGAAGACGGCAGTGAATACCAGAAAAACCAGCAGCACACTCACAACTATAATAATAATATTGAAATCAGTTATCAAATGGAAAATATTATTACTGAAAGCTTTTTTTTTCTTAAAAATTGATCATTATTTGGGCGTAGTCTGGGCGAAATCATAAATCAAAACAATCTCCAAACTACGCCCATGATGGTATCAAAATGTCATAGCTTTGTATGTAAGGACATATACTTGAAATCAAAGCATTTGACTATCAAATACAATTGAATAATACTAATGTATTATTAGGAATAGATCAGATCATACAACACCAAAACTATAGAAAAAGGAAACTATAATACGTTAGCAATCTACGAGTATTATAGGTATTTTTCATTTTTATAGTTTATAAAAAAGTAATGTTAGCGTTGGAACTTACCGATAACTTCCTGGAGTATTAATACATCGTCCATTATTTTGGCATCCTAGATCAGTATTGTTGAATTGAGCACACTCATCAACGTCACTATCACAAGTTTTTCCCTTAAAAAATAAAACGAAGTTGATATAGATATTTCGAAGCATAATGTGTAATCAATTTCTTCAATTCATGTACATCAAATATTATTAGGTAGAAACAGTTTAATGAGGATGAAGTTTTAAACATTTATTTTACTATATTTAAATTTTAAAATACGAATCGTTTTCAAATTCGTTCAGATATTCCGAACCCATTTACAATTCCTCTAAATAAGTTAATACATTTCAGAACAAGTTTCAGAAGACATTAGCGTACACTTCGTCGTGATAGTATTATCTATCGCAAGTAAAAGACAGCAGACCTTAAAGAAAGTTTTTAAGACTGTAATGTACTATTAATTTAGTAGTTCCTTTTCTTTGTTTTACTATGGTCATTAATCATCATATTTCCTGTTGCTAACTTTATTTAAACAACCATGCATGGTGTTCTAACATCATAATATGGCTGTATATTCTGGTTATAGGTCCAGAATTCATATATCCAATTAGGATTACCATTTCATCGTGGATGGTTCTAACAAGGTATGAAGAGTAGCTTGGAAATCTTTTCAGCTCAAGTAGATTTAAGGAGTTCCCTGTACGGAATCTACATAGTCAGTAGATTACTATTTTCCTCGGCTGTAGAACAGTAATTCTAACCCGGTCTTTGAAATTAGTATAGCAGTGCAGAACTTAACTGAGTTCAATGAGTAAGTCGTGCATAATGTCAATAATTTGTATTGCAAGCCATCAAGACATACAGGCAAATGAAATCGCCAAAGAGCTTGTTAGACATACTAGGCAAATATGAGTGAGATTGGTTTTAACACTTTAGTAAGATTATCATGATCGGATTTGTGGTAGCAAAACGGCATTTGTACTCACTTAGATTGCAGAGAAAACTCCGTCTTCACTAAAACGATGTTACTAATATACTTAAACATTGAAGTATGACAAGATTTCGGTGCAAAACTTATAACTAACACCTCTGGACTGGACGTAATTTACATTGAATGACCATAGTTCACAAATGAGTATATCTATATTTTATACATATGTAAACAAAGTACTATTTTGGAATGCCCATAGATGAATAACTCAATTAAAATGATGAACCTAATCAGTAAGCAAAGTCTGTCAAAGTATGAGAATATCTGAAGAATAATATTTTTATTTTTATTTAATATTTTTTTTTATTATATTTTGTTCGCACTAAGGTCTTAAATATAATGTTTTGCTAATTAAAAATTTTATGTGTGATGACAATGAATACAATTTGAGTAGAAATAACCTTAAAAGGGAACTTTCAAATCTAAAGAAGTGTTTCAATTATTTATTTATTGATTTTGTCCATGGTTCAAATTTGACTGGATTCAATTCATAATGTTACTTGCAGTGCAACCATTTCATAGGGATAATTAATCTAATATTGTTTTTAAAGATAACAGATAATAGGTATTTAGTGATACCCAAAACAGCTATATGGTCAGCCCAAGAACTCGGTTGATTAAAATATTTCTTCATAATTTCTTTTAATATGGACATTTTTTCTCAGTGTGAAAGTCTATCTCAAGCAGTGACGACTGCTCTAATATGCGGAGGTGAACGACGCACACTTTAACATAATTTGCATTATGTCAAAAAAAGTGTATATACATATATTCATTAACTATCTTTACATCGAGAAATAAAATTATTTATTCCATTTACATATTCATATTTTTAAAGATTAAAGTTTTAGCAAAAACACTAGGTGTGCGGAGTACCTGACCGCACATTTATACGTTTTGTTTAATCACTGCATCGACATGTATGGTTTTGATTACAGACGACACTTTTGTTTGAAAAAAGTTGGTTTGATGTTATGAGAAGTTGTGTTTATTCCAGATTGATATAATACTAAACTTATATATCATTTTTGATTTCAACAGTACATGTAAAAACAACATTGTAGAAAAGCTGCACACATTTTCAGAAAGGCACGCATCGTCACTGATCTCAAGCTACTTATAATTGAAGTCTCTAGCCTTTTTATCTTAAAATGTTGAACTTGATAGAATGTAATGAATGGAGAGATATCGTTGATATTTTATTTGATAATGTCGAGTTAATATTTGAGTTGAAATATGAAAATTATTTCTAACCTTGCTCTTCTTCTTTTGATTGAGAAGAATGACAGATAGTTTAGGAACATAAGTCGCTGTAGATATTTAAAAATTTTCTAAGAAAGGGGTTTCAGAGAAGATGTAAATGAATGCTATTATTATATGGATAAATCAATTATATAAAATTGATAAAATTGATGTTTAAATCAACTGCATAAATGCACTTGCTTCTTCAGTTTCCTGCAATATTGTATATTATTTAATTATTTGCAAGGGCCATGACGTACAGACATTGCATATTATACAGAGAATTGCATGACAGTCGAAATTTCTCTATTTCTCTCATTCTCAACTTTATGTTTGCTGTGACTATGACTCCCTGAATGTCATGCTTTTAAGCAATTCGATCGATTCGATCTTTTCTATTTTGCACAATTTTAACAAAATAAGAATTTTTATTATTTATCTTGCTCTGTATTAACTACTCAGTGAATTTTTTTTATTGTATCTGATTCTATACGCCCCCAAAAAACTGTTTAGTTAATATTGAAATATTTTTTGCTAAATTTTATTAACACTTACCACCCATCCTTCTGTGCATAAGCAAATGAAATCATTGAATTGATCATAGCAGGAGCCACCATTTTTACATGGAATCGTATTATTGACAGTGCACTCATCTATTCTAGCATCTCTTTCGATCGATTCAATGCGGCCCTGTAGTTGTCGGATTTTAAATAAACCGGATCGCAAGTCTCGTCTTAACTTGTTAAACCGTGTTCTATTTACATAATTTCTAAGCCTTCTTTCTAAACCGCGTAAGTCCCGTTTAAAGGCATTTAACTGCTTAGTCAATTCGTCTGTCGAAACCATGCTATTTGCTTCTACCTGTGTATTGTTTTCTTGAAGAGCATTCAAAATTTCCATTAAATTGACATCATTTATATTCAGAGCAGAGTTTGGCGATAAAGAAAATACAATATCTTTATCATAAACCGCCTCCAAAATGAGGTTGCCATCATCTTCAATGAATATTTTCGGTTGTTGTTCAAAGTCACACAGTACTAGATTGCAACATAGTACACACAGAAGGATGACGAAGGAAAATGTATACATATTAATAATAGTAATAATAATATAGTTTTTTCAAACTATTAAAGCTTAATTTTCAAATTTTTTGCACTCAAATATTATTTTCTTTATAATAAAATCTCTTTCAATCCAAAATCTCTTTCAAGTATTTTAATTATTTTTTTCACAAATTTTCCACACAATTGAAGCCTCAACTTAGCAATTTTAAGACCGATTTTAACTGAAACGGAAACCTCAAGTGTGGGTGTATTTATACCAAAAGGGACGTTCAATATTATCAGTTCGGGACGTACGAGGTATTTTTTGACAAAAAATTTGTGCATATTTTTAATAAGTGGTACCAAAAATATAATTTTACATTCAGATAAATAAAAGGTATAAAATCATCTTTATATGTATATGGATGTGCAGGAATATCTTGAAAAATTTGCGTTATCTTGAAATTTTCTTCAACAACACACCATAAAATTACTTAATTCCAAACAGATTGCCTGAAGCTAGAAAACCGTTAACGTCTGTGATTAAATAATATCGACATTAAGTTCTGTTTGTTCAAATACGAACAGACAAGATCATATGGATTAATGCGAAATCGATAAGGGAGTATGATGAGAGTTATCTATTTTTGTGAATTTACAAACATTAGTTTGAGAAGCTCACATACAATTGATAATAAATATTGGTTTGCTTTTCATTAAATATTAATAGCTGATTTGTGAATTCGTTTGTTCCAACTTAAATTGATTATGACTATTTAAAAAGGCAATCGAGTCATATTTAATCTAATATCGTGTTTATTATACATAAAACTAATTATATCACCGTCATCTAATAGATATATTTACTATGCGATGACCTACCATATATGCTATTCGTCGCGTGGAATTATAAATCTTCTGACAAGTTGATAATCATTTAAATATACATATATACTCAAAGTCTATTATAAGAAATATAATCCGATTAAGCATAATCAAATTAAATATTATTATTACAGGGAGCAGCAGCGTATTCATGGAGTAGCGGGTGGTGTTTCAAAGAGATTCTGAAAGAATCTAAGTACTATAAAAACTATACAATTCTTATATATTCTTTTAAAATTACTTTCATAATAGTATTAGAAAACTGTTTTTACTTTATTTAACAAATTTACTTATTTATTTAGGACGAATAACCCCTTCTTAGGTTTCAGTCGAACATAATATTACTTATGTTCCGTGCGTATCTGCTTCAGCTTTGTACATCAAATGCGGTTAGTGCTATCTAAACTTAATCACGCCATCGGAGAACAGTCTCCACTTAACTCTTCTTTCTACGGCTAACGTTTAAAGTACCTATTTTGCTGCAATATTTTATTCCATTTCATGACATGTTCAACCCAGTGAAGCCATTGAAATAAAGTCAATGTTTTGATAAAACTAGTATAGTTTGGTTTTCATTCTAATAGGTTTGTCATAACCTACTAAAAGAAAACCCATATCTTTAAAAAAAACTTTTTTTAAAACTCAGAATTACTTCATTATTATAGAGATTGTGTCGGGTGAAAAACAAACTGAACCTGCAACGAACCGTTTTTGCAGAGGTTTAAGTAGCCGGATCCCAGTTCAGTCCTGTAATAAATTTATTTCTTTGGAGCAGTGGAAAGCTGAGACGAGTATGTAAGGATTGAGAAATGTCAATTTCGATTATTACAGAAATGTCAAATTCAAAACTCGTGGACGATGAATTCGCCAAGGAATATACATTTCTTTGGCGTGGAAAAATTGGATTAGAAATGTAAATTTCTACCACACTTGGAGAGGGTTGATATAATGTGAATCATAATATAATGTGAAAATGGAAATTACTATTACCTTGTAAACGTTAGCCGTGTACATTTAAAATTTCTACTTCTGCTTCTGACACACTCAGCACTTATTAGCACGTTCTGGATAACAGCTCGTTGCTTTACTAACTGCCCAGATTGCATATTCGACGCATCTTTTACACTTGAGAAGTGCAATATGCATTATTGTTATATATTTTTTGAAGCACCATATTTTTTTGAAGAAGTAAATTTTCTGTTTTTATTGTAATGTTGGTGGTTGTTTTTAGCAATTGTTTTGACAACAGTAATTCTTTGACTGATCTCCAAACTAATTCCGTATTGGTATTTATGGCAGTCCCAAAGTAGATTGGATCTCTGATAACTTTAGAAGTATCGCAAATTTAAGAATAAAATGAAGTCTCGTTTAACGCAAAACCTTATTTTTATTCAGGTTTATTTGCCTGACTGATGTTATTATCACAATTATATCTTTAAATTCAGATTTTTTCGAATTTCGCATTTCCTTGATTCCAGTAACGCAAGCCTCAGAGTTAAGAAAGGATTTCGCCAATTGAATAGGTGCGACTTTTGTATTGAGGGTTCAAATATTTCAAATACTTACTCATATGTAATAGCATTTGTTTCATATACAATGGTTGTCCAACTTGATGATTTTTATTGTTCATTACTGGCAGGTGTTGCACATACTGAACATATGAAAACACTGAGAATACGACCTACTGTACGAATTTTTGTTAATATATTAGTACATTACTCAAGTAATAATCCAGGGTTACCATGTAGACATTGTGCGACGACTTGGATTGGGCACAATAAGAATTGTGATCATCACTTTCTATTAGAAGTGATGATTGTCACTTTCCATTAGAAGTGACAATCGTACGAGTATAACTACAAATCTTCCATTCGAAGTGAACCATAAAACTCATATTTATATTGTTTTATTGTACTGTTTAAATTGTCTGTTCAGTATAGATAAAACTCTCTTTAATACGAGTTTAATATGATTCGTATTATAATGGAAAGTTATTCATTCTTATTTATTTTCTTTGAGATTATTTGTGTTGGCATATAACCTATCACTCAATAAGTCGTGTGACTAAGTAAGAAAAATAAATTTTTTCTGCCAAAAATCAATTTTACTCATCAATATAATCTCTTTCAATGGCACTACAATCATTTCAATGCTTCTCTAACTTCTCGATGCCGTGCTTGTAGAAGGATTTGTCTTTTGCCTCAAAATAGGCTTCAGTTTCAGCAATCACTTTTTCATTTGAGATGAATTTCTTACCGGCAAACATTTTTTTGAGATCAGCGAACAGCCAGTAGTCGCTTGGGGCCAAATCTGGACTATACGGTGGATGAGGAAGCAATTCGAAGTGTAATTCGTGCAATTTGCCATCGTTTTTATTGACTTGTGACATGGTGCATTGTCTTGGTGAAACAAAATTTTTTTCTTCGCCATATGCGGTCGTTTTTCCATAATTTCTGCTTTCAAACAATACAGTAATGCCGTGTAGTAGTTACTATTGATAGTTTTTCCCTTCTCAAGATAGTCAATGAAGATTATACCATGTGCATCCCAAAGTACTGAAGCCATAACCTTCCCCGATTTGCCTTTGATTGTTGTGCCTTTGGACGCTTCGGACGTGGTTCACCGGCTGCAGTCCACTCAGATGACGATCGTTTTAATTTCGGAATAAAGTGATGGATCCATGTTTCATCCATTGTCACATATCAACGCAAAAAACCTGATTTATTACGTGTAAATATGGCCAAACACTGCTCTGAATCATTAACACGTTGTTGTTTTTGATCGACTGTGAGTAAACGCTTTCTCATGGTCAAATGTTCACTTAAATGGCTATCACTTTTTTTCTGACTAATCGAAATGTCATGAAATTTTACACATGGTCTTTTGAAGTTTGATACTTCATAAACGTCATATGGATTTGACAATGGCGGCGCCATCTGTGTTTCAGCGTTTTAGACGAAATATGAGCATTTTTACAGGCCACTGTGGAGGCTGACAAGCGTTAGTGTTGCTTTAATATATTGGTCATTCGTTGCGAGTTCCAGAAAGAGGCATGCCAATGTGATAATTCTGTTGTTCCCACAGATTCAATATGGGTTGGCACATGGTATAGTGATAACATATTCAATTAACCAAATTTGTAAGGCAAGGTATATGACAAAGCACATATATCAGCTTGCTAATTTAAATGTATTAAGCAGGTATAATGTAAGCGCGGGTAATCCATAAAACTCCTATGAGTGCATTTAGCCTCCAATTCTCAAGGTGTATTGGGTAACAAATCGAGTGATTTAGGTGCATTTACCGTAGCCGTGATGCTAAGATTTTGTGTAAAGGCTTAAAATTCAATTCAAATTCAGAACTTATACAAGTTTGAAGTGCCTAAGAAACCTTGAACATATTTTGTTATGTACTAACTTTGTTACTTACAATAAACAGGAAATAAAATAAAATCAAGTAAACTTTATACAACTTAACAGTCGAGGCCTCTCAAATTTGGCCCATGCGCGTAATTTCATTAATGGCATATTAATGCGATGTTATTAGATCGCCTAATTGCTACTAGCTGGACATCAACGTGTTTTTCTGGAAAAGTCTCATTTTTCCTTCGCAGTTCTCAACTTTATTAGCGCGACTCGGTTACTTTTACTTTGGCTACTGACAAAAAAACACGTTTGTTATTTATGCTTCAACTTACATGTAGCTGGTTAAATTGGTATACTACTCTCATCGAGCTAAGTGGTTTGAGTGCCAAATTAGCAAATCTCTGTCAGATTAGATACGATCATAACAATGAATTTTTTTAATTTATTTAAAACTATAAAACATTGTTTAGATTAACTATATACAAATAATTTTTTTTCAAATTTAGATCGTTCATCATATGTGTAAAAATTTAATGTCCATCCAGATCCATCGAAGTTAGGTGATTTCTTCGAAACAATTGCAATGTGACTACTTGGTATTTTTACAGCATCCCAAGCTCCTGCCCAATTTTGGCCGCATAGAGTTAAAAATACTTCTTCATAACCATTCGGTAAAATTTTATAAATGGTTACATTATCCAGCGGACAATTTACTTTGGATCCCATATCAAAACCTGAAAGATTAAAAATTTAATCAAGATATTAAATAATCGAAAACAAGGAAACAAACTGGAAA